TTATCACTATCTGTCATATATTGAAAGTTGTCGAAATTTGGTGTTATTGAATCCGATTATCTTTTTGATTTGAAGAAATTCTTCGTCTCAGTTATATCCACAATCATGACAATAAGAAAAAATAACAAGCCTAAGGTCCAGAAGCAACAAAATGTATGTGAATATGACCTGTTGGAACAGTACAGTCCTCTCAAAATCGGAAAAATTATTCCTACTAAAACCGAGAAAAAATCAAATATCTTCAATACGTTTCGACCTAAGCTTGGAGAATGTTTGGATTATAATATTTCCGAAACTTTCGTTAAATGGAATGTTGGAGATACAAAAATCAATGTGAAACAAACAAAGGCTTCCTATGTACCAGCTCCACCAGAAGCTATAAAACCACAAAAAACTAAAAAAGTAGTTAGATATTGTTAAATTTTTCAACTATTCATTTTAATTTTTGATTTTATTTGTTCTTTCAAAGATTTCAAATCATATTATGTCATATTAGACAATGGAAGTCCGAACTAGTAAAATTCAAAATAAAAACGATATCATATATATTATATTACATATAAAGTAAAACACAACTACAACGGGAACAATCATATTGGTAGAAGAAACAACGTGGAATCTCAAAGGTTGTTGAAAAATATCACGAGTATTTCCATGTAAATGCCATATTATTGGAGTACAGCATTTTCATGTTAAAAATTTAAACCGTCAAAAAAATTTTTAACGAAGTTTTTAAAATTCGTGAACTTCAGATATTCATTCATTAATCAACTCTCTCGAAGCACTCAAATACTCCCAAAAGACATTCCGATCAGTTTTAATAATTATTATTCAGGTCACTGTATTGTTGAATTTAAAGGCGATGACATCTTCCCGCCCTTCGAAGATGCCATCTATGGGATCGACAAAAGACTCGAACATCAAATATGAACGAGACTCCTCTGTCCTTCACTGCAAATCTCACTGTAAGGCAGCTAGATTTATTGAATAACAAATGAAACATTCAAACTCTCTTTTGATTGTATAACTGATTCATTTTTTTTATATCTTTAATATGTTCATGGAAATTGAAAGGGGTGTATTTTAGGCGAGACTAGTTTTTAGAGAAAAATCTTCGGGCTTAATTGAATTAAATCTTCCTTTGTTCAAAAATAAGTTATATTTAGCAAAATTATAATGAAAAATGTTTTATTTTCTAAAATCCATGCAGTGTCGGTGAACCGGTGTCGGTAAATTATTAGTGAGTTTTTTTTATTTTTAAGCATAGAGTTGAATCATGATCAATCAATCAATTCATCGTACTTTTTCTCACTCTGTATTATCACTATCTGTCATATATTGAAAGTTGTCGAAATTTGGTGTTATTGAATCCGATTATCTTTTTGATTTGAAGAAATTCTTCGTCTCAGTTATATCCACAATCATGACAATAAGAAAAAATAACAAGCCTAAGGTCCAGAAGCAACAAAATGTATGTGAATATGACCTGTTGGAACAGTACAGTCCTCTCAAAATCGGAAAAATTATTCCTACTAAAACCGAGAAAAAATCAAATATCTTCAATACGTTTCGACCTAAGCTTGGAGAATGTTTGGATTATAATATTTCCGAAACTTTCGTTAAATGGAATGTTGGAGATACAAAAATCAATGTGAAACAAACAAAGGCTTCCTATGTACCAGCTCCACCAGAAGCTATAAAACCACAAAAAACTAAAAAAGTAGTTAGATCTCATAGCGGCCCACCACAGTGGAAATTCATAGATGAGATTTGGAGGGAAAAGCAGGACCAGTTACAAATCCAATCGAAACGTGAATTCAAGCAGTTTTCAAATCGGAGGAAGTGTACACATAAAAATCAAGGTGAGTATACGGCAAATAAAAAACGTTTCCAACTCAAACTCTGTATAATGCGCACACTACATGAGTATAAAAGTTGAAATAACTCATTTCAAAAAAATGAACGACATTTCCAACTGAAACTCTGTATAATGCGCACACTACATTAGTATAAAAGTTGAAATAACTCATTCAAAAAAATTCCTGAAACTAAAATTACACCACTGATTATTCAACTTATATACATGTAATTTCTGTTGTATATATACAGTGTGACCCATTTTGAAATCATAAAAAAATATTCTCATGGCTATATCTGTTGATATAGGGTGTTTTTTGTGACTGTTAGCTGTGTGAGATTTCGAATTTTTGAGTTGTCATAACTTTGTTAATATAAATATTTTTGGTCACACCTGTTTAGAGGCACTCTAAATCCAGTGGCGTAGTGATTTTTTCAATAAAAAAATCGCTAATAAAAAATCCCGATTTTCGACTAAGAAAAAATATCGTAGTATGCCCTGAAACATTAATAAACCTTTTAATACTTGATATTTCAAAAAAAAATTTTAATCAGTTTACAAGTTCAAATTTTAGGGGGGTGTTTCCATTAAAAATGGGTACACTGTATTTTTTTTTCGGGTTTTGTTCCGTGTTCTGTCGATTTTATCCTCATAAGGATTATTTTTACAACGTTTCGGCAAAGTATCATTTGCCATCTTCTGGTGATGTCTGGAGTTTTTCAACTAGACTGTCCAGTCTGTAAAACTTGAGTTGTTACATTTTGAAATGTTAAGGGTTATATTTATAGCTATTTGGTTATTTCTTCAAGTTGTATGTATGGAGCTGTTAAGGCCTGTTTTCAGGCGAAGAAAAGTCGAAGATTTCGCTAGAAATCAAAATGATTATTCTCTAAAATACCGCCAAAATTTATTTAAAACATCCTGGAGATGCCTGAATAGTCATTCCAAAACAACAATGATATTCATATGAAATATGTTGACTTCGGTAGATGCCGAAATAAATCCAATCCATCTATGCTATCAATCAAAATGAACGGTTTCTGAAAATCTCCAAAATGAACAATTTTCATAATACATACCTCCTCTTGATTAGGTATGCAAATAATTACACGAACGAAATTACTCACTTTAAGTTGGATCAGAGATAACATTTGTATGAAAATATTTATTTTTTTAAATTGGTTTAACCATTTTAACTTTCATGTTGTTTCAGCTTCATCGATACACAATTGGATACTAGGAATGGTGGGACCAGAGTGGTTTCAAGAACTGTCACCTAAACAACTTAAAACTGCAGATCAATTAAAGTACTGCATGGCACAGGATTATAAGGATAATACCATAATTCAAACAAAAGAAAACATCGGAAGCCTGGGACTGGTTCCCAGACCCAAGTCAAAACATATTCTGTTAGCTTTAAATTTATGTTGTGGAATTGATGTAGAATTTTTACTGAGTTTATATCAATTGATAGATCCTAATAGAAGCGAGTATTCTATAAATGATAGATTGCTACTTTCAGCTGTTGTTCATTTGACAATGACGGAAACATTAAGAGAGCTACACATTAGAATACCATCACCACCTAGAAAAAAAATAGGTAGTTCTAAAGGTTTTGAAAAGCCTGAGAAGAAAAGGTATAAGTCTCCTTATTTGGTACCTTTCACATTCAAACCAGAACCTCCAAAATATTCAGGAGTTTATGAAAATAAACATTTTCAGTATCCCCAAAACCCCTACTTTTCATATATCGATGAATTGGTGAGTATATTATTATTGAAACGATTTTTGTCACCATTTAACAATATTTTCAGTATCAAGAGAAGCAGTTTACTGAAAATATTCTTTCTGTCAATGTTGCAGAGAAAGATTCAGGTATTCCATGTTTTCTGTTGATTGTTGGACTATTCATAAATCTATTTTGAGACAGAGACACAGAATATGTTCAAGTTGGGTGATTCAAATGTTTCATTATAACCTGTACAATGTGTTTGATTTTAGTGGGTTTCTAAGCTGTGAAATTTAAAAAAATGATGTTTTCGTGTTTTCATATTCCCAAATGAAGCATTACTGATGCAATACCATACAGTATTGTTTCGACCCACCATAGGTATCATCAGTGGTGCTAACCTGAACCACGAATGCAATATTGGACTAAGAAAATATGGGTTGAAGTAATGCTTCTAGCAGGACACGTTCTCCCAATTGAAGGGGTTTTATGAAGTTAGTTTATGATATGCTTCTGTAGGGAGTACTCGAAGTTGATATTAGTTGCTATTATGTGATGTACACAGTGATTACAACTCGAAGTGTTTGGTTGATAATCAGCAGAATACCATCCTCATAAAAAAATCATAAGAATATAAAAGGGTCATGGAAAAGTGCTACTTTTGTTATGATGTTTTCGGAGGAATTATTGAGATACTATTACTAATATAAGCAGGCAAGGAAAATTATGAGCATGGTTTTAGCTATAACTTTGTTCTGGTTGATATTGAAGACCCAGTAACTGAAAGCGTCTAGATAGAATAATTCTTAATTCTCGAAGCTTGAGCCATATCTTCAGCTCGAATATCTCATTCCAGATATGGGTCTGATGTATCTGCAGAAAAATCTAATATAAAAACTTAGTCACTTTTTATTATTTCTTTCGCAGAGAAAATTGAATCCTTCAGTGTTTTCAAATGAAGTGCTTTGGGAGCTTTTCAAAAGAGAGATTGAACAGTATTTAACCTCGTTAGTCCTTAGCTCGCACAAGTTTCGACTTTTGAGAGTTGTAAATTATACAATAAATTACCATATAGTACAGGGAATGTCTATCTTATGAGACCTACTATCAAACAAGTTTGTATTGACTTTCAAATTTACTCTAATAAACACAGTACAGTTAGCGAGGAATCCATCTTGCCACATCTTGCTGAATTGAAAGATACTTCAGAGATATGTACATGTGTGGAAGATCAAGAATATGATTGTAATTTATAACGACTATTAATATAGTTGATAATATGAACATGAAATTTTGTTACAGGTTGCGACTTCTTCGAAAACTGTGAATGTGAAGGAAAATGTGTCTGTAAAGGAAAATCCAAACTATTCGTTCGATCATTATGTAAGAGATGTAATGCCCAGAGACAACATAAAAATAGTAAAAATATAATTATTGGTTCTCATAGGACTATGAGCGATACTGTTGTGCCCATAATAGGAGGAACGTTTGTAGGAAAAGAGTGTAACTGTTTATTGATGTATAAAGAAAAATTAATGGCTATTGACGCGAGTAACAGATTCAAGTGTCAAAAGGTGAAATACATCCTAGGTGGAGTCATTATGACTCGACTAGGTCCGGTTTACCTAATATCGAGTATTTTTGTTGAGGCTGAATCAGAAGTGATCAGTGAATCAGATAATTCTTCATCATGTATCTGTAGAAGTAATGACAATAGGACGAAAAAGAGTGATAGTACGGAAGTAATTTCGAAAAAGTCTTCTGTTGGAGAAGAGACGGATGATTGCGAGTGCAAACAGCAATTAGAGTTATTTTTAAAACATAAATGTAATTGTGAACAATGCCAGGCCGCTATGCCAAGCACAAAAACAATATTCATTAATCAAGGCATTAAACGAAATTATGATGGAGCAACTGTCAATATAATCGATAGTGTATACGATCAAAAATGCGATTGTCTAAATGCATACTTACACAGAATGCAAAAATGTGAAGATTACAAGTCTAGGGTGAAAGCACGTTATAAGATCAAGTCACAACCTAATAAGTATGTGATAACAGATGTTTTTATTACTCCATTGGGTCCCGTCTACTGTATTGGAGGTGTTCGAGTGCCCCCTGAATGTGTTTGTGCTAAAGTAATGAGAGAAGTTGAGGAAGCCGCTGAAGCAGCAAAGCGTATGGCAAAATTGCCTCCGACTGGTAGAGTGAAATATGAAATATCCGGAGTCAGGCATGGATCACAAGAAAATACCTTTGTAATTTCGAGAGCTTTGCCTGTGAGGGATTGTTCATGTGAATCACTGTATAAATCCTATCAAAAAGCACATGAAAGTTGTTTGAACGCCTTCGAGGAATATCTGAAGAAAATAAAAGAGGAAATGGAAATATCTTCTGATAAATCTGAAGAAGCAGCTGTTGAAAGCACTGATAAGACTGATTTGAAAGAAGAGGATATTCCGGTTGAGACGCAGGTTATAACGGTACACACGATTACAACGACGATAACATACGTTACAGCAATTACTGTAATTTTTGAATCATTTTTGACTAATCTAACAGAACAATTTCCAATAACTTTCGATCCGGTACTCAATATGCTTAGACAAAAAGTGGATGGAAAATATGACATAGGTTTGGAATATCCAGAAAAACGGGATGTCACTACACTATTGAATAATACTTGGGTTTCTGAACCGGAATTAGACCTTGAAAAGGAAAATAAAGTATTAAAACGTTTTGTAATATTAGATGAAATTCCTTGTGATCAACGAAGCCAAACAGCGATTTTGAAAGTAAGCAAATTGTGTCGAGGTGTTAAAAATAACGATTTGGTGTTGGGAAAGAACTCCAGTAATATTCATTAACTAATTTCTGGTTAAACCGAAATATGATTGTTTTTTCATTATAAATATGGGCTCCCATGAACAATACCTTAGTTCCGAATTTTAATTTTCTAACTTCAAAAATTACTAAATGGCGTTCAGTTCAATGATTTCATTATCATTCAATTTGAATAAACGTTTTTAAATTTGGATTTCACAAAAAATATCTTATTCTACAGAAGATGTTAGCGAGCATGGCAGAGGATGGATTTCCTTTAGCTAGACTTCCAGAATGTTATAAATTACCACATTTTAAATTGTGGATGGAATTAAGATGTGGAAGAAGATGGTCCCAGAGAGATAGAGGTAAATTTAATTGTATTTTTTCTATTCAGCTCTTCAATTGACATTGAATTATCATGATGAATGTCAATAACAAATAACAATAGTTGTATGTCTCTAGGGCTTTCAGGCCACCAGATGTGGCTCTCAAGTATCTGGGGAGTGTGGGTCAGAAGCCTCCGTAGGTTTCCGGCTGGCCTAGAAACTCCAAACTGTCCTAGAAGCCTCATACGATTTCACGGTCCGCTGATTTCGAAATCGGAATCGATCCGTAGTCATCATGATAAGAGGTGCAATCACGATATTCGTGATATATCGATAAGAAGTTAATGCATGACAAGTTGATGCTATTTGTTAGGTTTTTGGCAGATAGCGGTTTATGTGGTATATACCAGAAGGGGTGTTACCGTGATGTGTGGGATGGATTGGATTGTAGTATGATGTGTGGACGAACATTTTTGGGGAAGCTTGAAAGTTAAACATCATTGGTTTGCTGCCGCCATTATTGCCCATAAATAAATCTTATTGGATGAGTGAAATGTGATTATTAATTTAATTATTTACAAGTTTACATATTTGAAAACTTTATGAGGTACGGAGGGGAAGACCACTATATTATTTATGAAAATTCGATTCATGTCAACATTTGATTGAACATTAAAAAACGTACCTATTCTAAGTTTTGAAGAAAAGAGAAATTGAATTTTCTATGTTTTTATCACTTTTATTTGTAACTAACGTTACTGCAGTTCCGTCCTATACGGACATTTTCAAACTTATTCTTAGATATGCCTTTTTTTTTACAAAAATGAGGGTTTATGGAAGATCAAGGCACAGGAAATTTAGTTAAAATCAAGAGAATTGAAAAACTGCTGGCAATAGCACTGTACTTGTTCATTAGGAGATATAAATAACATTGGGGTTATTAATAGCAGGGTTGATTTCAAAAATTTCAAGTAAATTAAGTGAAGTGCCTTTTTGGCAAACGTGTAAAATATCCAAATCAGAATCAATATCAAAACTGTGGTTGTAATTAAGAATGTGACTAGAGAACGAACTTTTAGTGTAATTATCATCTAATTGTAGATTTCTGAAATTGTCAATTAGTTCAACATGTTGAAGAACTCTTGTTNCAAATGAAACATTCAAACTCTCTTTTGATTGTATAACTGATTCATTTTTTTTATATCTTTAATATGTTCATGGAAATTGAAAGGGGTGTATTTTAGGCGAGACTAGTTTTTAGAGAAAAATCTTCGGGCTTTCTCTTTTCTATCTTTATACAAAAAATCGTGGGATTTGTAAAGTATTGATCAGCTACAATTGAACCACTGAACAAAAGGGGTCTGTAAACAAGTATTTCGAACTTATCTCCCTATATCCACAACTTCACCTTCTACTGAATTATTTGAAAAAATCACAAACAAATATTGAAGTATTTGAACAAAAATATAAGGTACGAAACAAGATTCGGTTTTCGTGAAAATAGGAGCTCCCAAGATGCCATAGCAAAGTTGACTTTTATGCTATAGAGAGCTAATGAAAGCAAAACATCTTGTTTAGGTGTTTTTATTGATCTCGTAAAAGAGCGGGAGAGTAACTTACTGTATTCTGCAAAACACGATCAACCTCATCAGCCATTGCATGTCAGTACATATTTTCGTTTCCAGGGCGAAATAGACAAACAAGTACGGGTTAAAGGTGCCCCAATGGATCCTCTACCCTCTCCAGTCCTTGCAAACCTGTACACGGAGGACTTTGAAACCAAAACCATTGACATGTCCAACCACCATCAAGTCTTTTCGCGACTGGATACCCGGGCACGTAGGACACAAGGACAAGTAGGAAGCTAATGCTTTAGACCGTGAAGGTGCATCCAAGGTCATGATAGGTTCATAACCCTTCTGTGAGCTGGGGAAGATAAGCATGAAGACATCTATCAATTCGTGGATGCAAGCTGAATAACTAAGTTGTAAATTTGTGGAGCAAGCTTCCAGAAATGAGGCGGATGAAAAAAAAAAAAAACATCATGAGGAAGGAAGAAGAAACCCCATTACACGTGTTATGTGAATGCAAAGCATTAGCAAGGCTGAGTCATCGCATGTGTGGTAAAGAGAAACCAAAGGCTATAAGCTATATGAAGAAACGAAATCAAGGCTTTGAGAGAAAAGTCAATTACAAATTGAAAAAAGGATATATTAATACGTATACATGCCGTTTTTAGCTGATCCCATTGTTGCTATCTCGGAAACGGTAAGACCTACAAGGTCGGTTGAATTGGACAAAAGTTTACTATTTTAGGGAAATAGAATACTCCCTTTTCTGATCGAGAATATCAGTGGTCGTTTTTTAAATATTCGACAAAAACTAGAGTTGTCGAATTTCGTTTT